AGATTATAAATAAAAAAAAAAAACCACAAATCAGTGAAATTGGAGAAAGTGGAGAAAAGTCACTAAAGCTAACAGCTTGTTCTGTGAAGAAAGACAATATAATTGATAAAATGTTTAACAAGAGTACAGCCAGGCGATGGTGGTGCACGCCTTTAACCCATTTCAGCACTCGGGAGGCAGAGGCAAGCAGATCTGTTCGAGACCAGCCTGGTCTACAAGAGCTAGTTCCAGGACAGCCTCTAAAGTCACAGAGAAACCCTGTCCCGAAAAACAAAAAAACAACAACAACAAAAATATTTCAAAAGGAATCCCTCCCCTTACAAGTATGCTAATCAAGGCATTGTAGGGATAGACAAATAAGTGGAGATGAAAAATCCATAAGCAGATGCATTAAAAAAAAAAAATCCCACTGGTATTTATAAAGATAGAAGAGGTTCCTGGATAGATTAAAGCTGCTGCTTCTAGGAAAAAAGGCAGGCATATTAGATGATATAATGGTTAGTATTGTTTGGTGACCTGCCAGGACCTGAAGTCACCTAGGAGACAAGGCTCTGGACATGCCCATGAGGAATTAGATAGATTAGGCTGATTGGCATGGGAAGACGTCCCTAACTTCCAGACGAACAGAGCTAAGCAGTAGCATACATCCCTCTGCTTCCTGGCTGTGGGGGTAGTGAGAGCAACTTCCTCAAGCTCCTGTCCCCAGGGAGATACTGCACTCCCACAGTGGTACATTACAACAGTCAGTAGGCCTTCCCCAGCCATGTGTTTGACTTACATCTTCAGTATTTCTACACACCGTATCCAAATCTGCTTTAAAAGCTTATTTATATATTGCCATCTTTAATGATAACAGTCATTTATCTTGCAGTCCTTAGTGGATTGCCATTCTGGGAATAAGAAAAGGTAGCAATAGAAGCGTGACTGACTGGTGCTGGTGTCAGATGTAAAGTTGATCAGCAATTATTTTAAAACTTTGTTTTAAAACGTTTCCATTGTAGTTAAGACATTTTTTGTATTTTCATGTTAGTTTAGAATCATCATCAGTACTAATTGAGTCTTAGTTAATTGGTACTTTCTTTCTTGATTATGTAAGTAATGGTGCATCTGATTAATAGATTTTCTGCCCCACCACCACCACCATAATAGGTTTCTCCACCAACTCAGTAAGCCATTTTGAGCAGAATTGAAAGAAATACAGCAACAGGTTTATTTGAGAAAGCAACTCCCAGCTGAGCTCTCCAGTCCCAGAGATCCAGTCCAGAGAAGCCATGTGCCTGAGATAAAGCAAGGAAAATTTTTATAGGTCATAGATGAGGGGTGATGAAGTGTACACCACAACTGGGTTTGTGCCCAAGTATGGTCAGAAGCTGACCACTTTAGGCAGGAACTTGAGCTGCTGGTGGCAGGGGGGTGGGGGAGGGGGTGTTACAGTAGTTGCCAAGGATGAGAAAGGGAGAGACAGGAATAAGGCTTTCCAGATAAAGCAGGAGTAAGCTCGAGGTTCCAACCAAACACTGATGTTTAGTGGCAGATTATGTTTAAAAACATGCAAAGTGTGTGTGTGTGTATATATTTCGAATGACCCAAACACCACTGAGCTATATCCCCAACTGATTTTTAATTTTATTTTGAGACAGCCTTATAGGCTGGCCCTGGACTAGTATTCCTCCTGCCTCAGCCTCCAGAGTAGCTGGGATTATAGGCATATGCTACCATACCTCATTTGGTTTTTGTTATTAACATCTTGAGTGTTTTACCTGTCCTGGTTTTAATGGACTTCTGGGGGAAGAGGTTTTGTGTTTCATTTTATTCCTTTTTTTCTTTAGAGGGACTACTGATAATTTGAGGATCTAATGGTAAATCCAGTATTGTGTACTCAGACTTGAAAACTTTATGCTTACCTCTTTTTTTCCCCTTTTTGTTTTTCAAGTGTCAATATACAGCATCTGGTTTTATGACAAGAATGATTGTCACCGAATAGCGAAACTCATGGCTGAGTAAGTATATATACTCCATAGATTAATGAGAGATACTTTGATCCCAACTTCTCCTCAGTGCTAACATCTTCTAGTTAATGTTTTCCCTCCTAATTCCCTTTTTATTGCCAAAAGTTTGACAAAGGCAGATTTTTTTTCTAAAAATTATCTATAATTCTACTGATCCCAGTGTAGTTAAAAATGTCTGTTCCCTTTAATCTGTGTTGAGTATACATTAGATTGTTTTGCATGATTGTTATCTACAAATGTAAGGACAATTGTTTAATGTTAACAGCATATTTTTCAGAATATTAAATTTTCCTTTGTAGCTTTTATCCATTATACCCAGTCTACAGACAATTCAGTTTAACAGATACTTAGATGTAGTTCCAGCTGCCAAATTGCCTGACAGAGAATATGAAGTGCATTAGGACATAGCCTGACCACCATATACAGTGGCTATACCAATTTCTACTATAATGAATAGTACTGTATTCAGTAGCTTGATCCAGATTATATAGCCTTTAGATGAACTTGGTTTGAGCTTAGACTGAGTTTAGAAAGCCCAGGTCTACAGTTTGTTTCCAAATCTTGAAATCTGGAGAATAATTTCCATTGAATTAATGATCTAAAGGATGACTTCTTGTCCTTGTGCTAGCCTGTAGAAACCACCTCTTGAGTGACCATAGTGCAAGACTGCCCATCTGAATTCTGGGAGCCCAAGACTCTAAAGTGCTAGATGGGGCCTGGAACAGTACAGAAGTAGAGTAGTGGGTAGTGTCTTCTGGCATAGATTGCTTCCTCTTTAGTTTTTGCTTGAATCTACAGTGAACTCTTACTCCTACCAAATCCAAATTCTGTTATTCTCTTCAAGGTTTGTATCTATGTTTTTTGGGGAAAAATAGTCTTGATTTTCTTTTTAACTGTAAGTTTTAATTAGTCATCCTGAAAGTATAATAGTTAACCCAGTAGCTTCAATTCTAGGTGTGCTTACATGTCAAGTTATAACCCAGGACTGCTAGTGTGTCCTGATTGAGTGTTTACCCACTGACTGTTGTACCATCTGCTCTGTCAGCTTGCAGGGTGGACCTGTTGTGTTTACTGCTAGTTGCACTTTTGGGGGAGCTTTGCTGCATATAAACTGACAGTCTTAACTAGAGAAAGCATTGGTTTTCTAGAGCACACTTCCTTTAAAACATTTTATCTCTAGTAAATCTTTGTTCTGCGCATGCTTGTAGGTATGGTATAGATAGAGGAAGTCAGCAGCATGGGTTAACATGGATGGGCAAAGGACCTTGCTGTATTATAGTAATGGAGAGCATCACATGAGAGAACAAATATGCTAGCTCTAAGATCCTAGGGGCTTTGCCTCATGACCTCAACCAAAGCATTTGTTTGATAACTTGCTTTTTGGCAAAAGTGGCAGGTGTATTTAAACTTTGGAATATATTAATGCATTGATATTTTCTCCTGCCAAATGAGAGAATCTGTTTAAGCCCTAACAACTACCGAAGGAAAATCATCTTGAAGTTTCCTCTGAGGGCATTGGCAACACTCCAGATATTAAACTTCAGTGGTTATTGGAGCTGAAGCCTGAAGGCCCATCTGAATTGATCCTGGAAATAGATATAGAAATAGAAATGGGACTATGGAAGTGATTAAAGATATGTTTGAAATCCCAATGCTGAGGTGCCAGAGTTGTGAGTTCAGGATCAGCCTGGATGGCATAGCACAGTTCAGCCTCCTAAGAAAGAGACCTTGTGTCCCAAAAAGTGATTAAAGGGTGCCCAGTTTATAGTGACTTTTTGAATGCTTGGCCTATGTATATCTGAAGAGAATGCCTCACATTATTGCCACTAACTCTGGGAATAAATGAATCTGGTCACCAAAGATTGGAGAAAGGAGAAGGGAGGGAAAACATCTTTCATTGTTGTCTATCTGCCTCAATATACCTCTGTTCTCTGTGTGATTCAGAGTATCATCCCACTGACTAATGCTGCTAAAACTTTGACACCTTATGCATTTAAACAAGCCTAGGGATGAAGTTCACTGGTAAAGTACTACTTAGCATGTGCCAGGCAGACACTGAATTCTATCCTCAGCATCACAATAAATAAAGCATGTCTGTCAGTCCACATTCTGTTAGATACAGTGTGTGTGTGTGTGTGTGTGTGTGTGTGTGTGTGTGTGTGTGTGTGTGTGTGTAAATGTAAGCCTGTAAAAAGAGTTGAAGACCCTAACCCTGTCAGTGGCATTCTTGAGACTTTTGCCTGTGGAATTTAAAGTGAATTATTAAATAATGCCAATAAAAATACAGTACATACCCATAACCACCCTAAGTTTGGTTGCCCATTTAGTGCAGAGCCTTTTGTATGCTTATAGAGACTTCACCAACACCCATTTTCAAGGCTAGTCCACAGTATGCTATTCAGTTTTCCGCATTTTAGTAATATCCATTTACAGCTTAGTTGTACGAGTTTTAAGTTACTCGTAGGAGAAAAGCAGGTGCTTGAAAGGATTTCTTAATGTACCTACTTCTGCCACCTCCAGAAAGGGATTCTATTTTTGTCTATCTTGGGTAAGGGACTGTTCACTGTTATGATTGAGATGGTGACATGCTTAAGTCATGTATTTTCCGGAATGAGGTAACCAAAGCTCTTTATCTTATTGCAAGGACAGTGTCATGTGACACTCTTACTTTATCCTTAGAAAGTTGACAAGAGAGTACTGGAGTTCAGTTGTGTGAAGTGGCCTTTCTGAAACCTGTTTCTCCTATAGTGTAGTAGAAGAGGAGACACGTCGATCCCAGCAGGCTGCTCGAGAGAAACAGAGTCCCAGCCAGGCCAATGGCTGCAGCGACCAAAGGCCCATCGACATCCTGGAGATGCTTAGCAGAGCCAAGGATGAGTATGAGAGGGTAAGGCTCTCTGTGTGCTGACCAGGGAATACCAAAGGGGAGGAAGGAGGAAAGGGAGGGGCCTGCTGGAGTCTTAGAGACTGGCAAAGACCCTCACGTGCTCACAGGAGTCATTAGTTTAGAAAAGAGCAAAGTCTGCTTACCTCAGCACATGGTTAGGGAGGAAATCTTAAAACTCACCTTCTGTTCCCATAGTCTTTATAGATTGATTACTGTGAGAGCAAGTGGCCATGGGGGGCTGGAGCTGGTGCTCAGCGGGTTCCTCAGGGAAAGCAGCACAGCTCCTCTTCACCCCTGCAGTTCTGTTCCGGGCTAGATGGACTAAGCACTTATGTAGGTTTTGAAAACAATCTGGGAATTTGTGCTCCATAATAGTAAATGGCACATTTTATGTTCTGGAATTGAGTCCATCATTTGGAATTTTACTCAAATGTGACACTTTTTTGAAATGCAGTGTTTTCTGTTTCTTGTTTGTTTGGAGGCGTGGCTTCTGTTGTTTTCTTTTGGGAGGAAGGTGGCTTAGGGAGTATTTTGTATCTTGGTTGTTTTGGTTTTTTGAGACTGGGTTTCACTGTGTGGTCCTGGAACTTCTTTGTAAACCAGGCTAGCCTTGAACTCAGAGATCCACCTGCCTCTGCCTTGGATTGAAGGTTTTTTGAGACAGGGTTTCGTTGTGTAGCCCTGGCTGCCCTGGAATTTACTCTGTAGACCAGGCTTGCCTTAGACTCATAGCTGTGCCTGCTTCTGCCTCCCATGTACTGGGATTAAAGGTATGCACCACCACAAACCGGCTAAATCATGTTTCTTAAAAAACTAAATAAATCAATCCAGGCAGTGGTGGCGCATGCCTTTGATCCCAGCACTTGGGAGGCAGAGGCAGGTGAATCTCTGTGAGTTTGAGGACAGGCTCCAAAGCAATACAGAAAAACCCTGTCTCAAAACCAAAGCAAACAAACAAAACTAAATGAGCAGAGCTTCCTTAACAAAAGTTCTGCTTTCTGCCTTGTTTGCCTGTTTTGCCATATGGAGTTGATATTAGAAGTAACTCTGGACCCGGATCTTCTTGTTTGGATGGGCTCTCCCCAGCAGCACATAGACAGATGGTCCCTTTGTTTCCTTTTGTTAGACTTAAGAGATTGGCAACCAAGGGCAGGGAGGATAAGCAAGGCCTCAGGTTTAATGAGATTTTATTCCATTTTATTCTAACTTCCCTATTGAGTTAGTTTATATAAGATAATATCTTTTCTATTCTCTCTCTCTTCCTTTCTCCCTCTTTCCCCCTCTCCTTTTGTAGGGTTTCACTCTAACCCAGGCTAGCCCCAAACAAGTGATCCTCCTGACTATTGAAATCATGCTGTACACTACCACACCAGCACAAATCCAGCATTTTTTGTAGTATTTATAAAGACTGTTTGAAGTTTAAAACTCTGTAAGCATTTCCAGATCATCTAGCCTCACTCTGAAAAATGACAGATCTCAATTTTTAGGAAAGCTCCCGATTTTTAATGTTTCTGAACATTATACCTTCTGCTTTAAGTGCTTCTTAGGAACGATATTATTTTCTTCTAATATTCAATGTCAATCATTCCCTATAGTGGGGTTGATAGTGATTAATAATGACCCTGTTCAAAAGGCAGCATATGAGAAGATTAGATAGCCTTTACACACTGTTTTCACCCCAGATGGGTGACACTGATTGAATGTGTTCTGGAGCACATGCCTATGATCCTGACTCTTGGAAAGTGAAAACGGGAAGATTAGTGTTCAAGACCAGCTTTAGTTACATACTAAGTTTCAGGCTTATCTGAAGGGACCCTGTCTTTAAAAAAAAAAAAAGGATACTCTGAAATAATATGAGAATTATCATTTGTATAATAGAAATGCATCATTCTGTCCATTCCTTTGAGTCCCTATTCCTCTTTTGAGCATGTTTCTGAAACATACAATATTAAGAAAATTACTTTTATTTTTCTTGTTAGAATTGTTCTGTCTTCCAATGAAGTTTAAAGATGTTTCTTGTTTTGAAGTTGTTTTGTTATCTTGACATAGACAGTACTTAACCAAAAGCAGGAACAAATTTTTAAAATGTAACTTACATTTCCGAAACATTGCAACTGCATGTCCGCCAGTGGTCATCTTTAAGGATTCTTGTGTAATGTTACATGGTATTGTGTTTATTTTGCAATATTGGGATTTGAACCCCAGGACCTTGGGCATGCTAGGTAGGCACTCCACTATGAGCCACATACCCAACCAAAGATTCTTTTAAATAACAAAAGTATTTTTATTTTTTTGTTTTTTAGAGACAGTGTTTCTCTGTGTAGCAGCTTTAGCTGTCCTGGAACTCTTTCTGTAGACCAGGCCAACCTGGAACTCACAGAGATCCACCTGCCTTTGCCTCCTGAGTGCGGGGATCAAAGGCATGCACTACCACGCCCGTGTAGTATCACTTTTTTTTTTAATATTTAGTTATTTATTATATATACAGTATTCTGACTGCATGTATCCCAAAAGAGGGCACCAGATCTCATTATGGGTGGTTGTGAGCCACCATGAGGGTGCTGGGAATTGAACCCAGGTCCTGAGAAAGAGCAGCCAGTGCTCTTAACCTCTGAGCCATCTCTCCAGCCCCATGGTATCACTTTTAACAAGTTTGAATTTAAGTGGTATTAAAATGATTGGGAGTGCATATATATACACACAAAATTAATCTTAACCAAACTGTAGCATCTTACTCAAAATTCAGCTCAAACTGGCCCATAAATTAAATGGCAAAAAAAAAAAAAAATCAGACTGCTCACCTAAGGATGGCTTAGTCAGAAAAGCACTTGTTATGCAAGCATCAGGACCTGAGCTGGACTCCCCATGCCCATGTTTTGAGGTTCAAGACAGTGCTAGGGAGGCAGAAACTAGAGGGTCTCTGGGGCTTGATGGTCATTCAGTATAGCAGAATCTGTGAGCTCCAGGTTCAGTGAGACACCCTGCTTCAATAAAGAGTGGTTGAGGACATCTAACATCAACCCGTAGCCTCCACATGCACACATTAAAAAAACCTGTGTGCACAAAAAAAAAAAAAAAAACTGAGTCAAGTATAGTTGTCACACCTGTAATAGACTTAGGAGGCTGAGGCAAGAAGATCATGAATTCAAAGTCAATCTGAAATACATAGCAAGACTGTCTCAAAAAAAAATCTTTTAGAAGAAAATGATATTTACCATCATACCCTGATTTGTCTGTACTTGGTTTCTACTCTAGTGAAATGAAACTTTTGTCTACCCAACGTTATTCAAGCTGTGTTCATAATTGAAACTGAAAATGGGGGCTCGAGAGATGGCTCAGTTTGTAAAAGAGTTTGGTGTACAAGCATGGGAACCAGTGTTGGATTCCCATCAACCCTATAAAAAAAAAAAAGCATGGTTGTGTCAGCCTGTGCCCCCAGCTCAAAAGGATGGAAGGAACAGGAACAGGAGGAATAAGGATTTGGGGTTAATTAAAGATTAAGGATTTGCTGACCAACCTTTTAAGCCAAAACAGTGAGCCCAGAGAGAACCCAGGCTCATGTGAGACCCTCCTCTGGCTTCCTTCCACATAGGTGCTCACCCATGCATACACTGGTGATTACTACACATAAGCAAATAGATCAAGTCAAGGGGAAAATAGAGGAGAGCGAGAAAAGAGGTAACATAATAGAGGGAGCCATTATAGGTCCAAAGAGAAATCTGGCACTAAGGAAATGTCCAGAGATCTACATGGTTGACTCCAGCTAACAATCTAAGCAATAGTCAAAAGGCTACCTTAAATGCCCTTCTCTGATAATGAGATTGATGACTACCTTATATGCCATCCTAGAGCCTTCATCCAGTAGCTGATGGAAGCAGAAGCAGACACCCACAGCTAAACACTGAACCAAACTTCTGGCATCCAGTTGCAGAGAGGGAGGGGATATGAGCAAAGGGGTCAAGATCAGGCTGACCTGAACAAGGGGGAGCTCATGGATCCCAGACTGATAGCTGGGAAACCAGCATAGGACTGTTCTAGTGCCCCTGAACATGAATGTCAGTTTGGAGGTCTGGGCAATCTATGGGGCCTCTGGTAGTGAATCAGTATTTATCCCTAGGACACAAATGGAATTTGGGAGCCCACTGTACATAGAGGGATACTCTCTCAGCCTAGACACATGGGGGAGGGTCAAGGGCCCTGCTCCAAATGATATGACAGACATTGAAGATCCCCATGGAAGACCTCACCCTCCCTGGGGAGCAGAAAGGGGATGGGATAGGGGGGTCGGTGGACGACAGGGAAAGAGGGGAGGGAAAGGGAACTGGGGTTGACATGTAAAACAAGCTAGTTTCTAATTTTAATTTTTAAAAAAAGGGAAAAAAAAAGAATGAAAACGTGCTGGAGAGATGGCTCAGTGGTTAAGAGCACCCGCTGCTCTTACAGAAGACACTAGTTCAGTTCCCAGTGTCCACAGCTCACGACATCTGTAACTCCAGCTCCAGTCTCATTCTGAACTATCTGAGTAACAGGCACACACATGATGCACATATATACGTGCAGGCAAAATACTCATACACATAAAAATAAAAACCTTTTAAAATAATCCAAATGTTATATGCTCATCATTTAAAAAGGAATGAGCCAGGCTGGAGAGATGGCTCAGAAGTTAAAAGCGCTGACTGCTCTTCCAGAGGTCCTGAGTTCAGTTCCCAGCAACCACATGGTGGCTCACAACCATCCATTATGAGATCTGGTGCCCTCTTCTGGTGTGCAGATATACATGGAAACAGAATACATAATAAATAAATAAAATCTTTAAATTAAAAAAAAGGAATGAGCCATAGATACTATAAATTAACTTACATGAATCTTAAAGGCTTTATGCCAAGTGTCAGAAGCCAGTACTGTGCTTATATTCCATTCTACTTTGTGTAGCATTGTCTAAAAGACAAAGCCATGGCAGAAAACAAACCACTTGTTTCTTGGAGTGCTCAGGGTCATGATCTTAGTGGGCCATCACAGGGGAGCATCTTTGCAGTGGTGGATGGACGTGCTGGGAATCCTGATTGTAGAGGTGGGCATACAGCTAGAGCTGTGTCTCCCAACAGTTAAGGTGTCCTGTGTGACTTAAGTCATGGAAAAATCTGGTAAAATAAAGTCATTTTTTTCCTCAAAATGTGTGATAGTTGGAGCTACCGTGTAGAAATAGATTCTTCACTTTATAAAAATTTTATTAGAGAAATTATAAAAATTGATAGAAACATAACAGATTTTTTTGTTTATTTTTTAGTTAAGGAATTTTTGGTAACTTCAAATTTGAACCAGATTAGACAGCAATCGTTTTTTCAGATGATAGACTTTTTCTTTTAATTCTTTTCCAAGAATCAGATGGGCGGCTCAAATATCTCCAGCCCTGGGTTACAGCCAAGCACTCAGCTCTCCAATCTGGGAAGCACCGAGACTCTAGAAGAGACACCCTCTGGGTTACAAGATAAGGTTTGTATAGTTAAAGCCCCAGCTTTGTCAAAGTAACAGAACAGTGACATTTTATAAGGACTTGAACTACTGTGCAAGCTTGGTACATCGATTGTCTGTCAGATCATGTGTGACATCATAACGACATATATCCAGCTCCTTTCCTAGGCCCATGAAACCCTCATCTGGACTATGCAGTGGCCTCCTTTCTAGTCCCCTAACTTTTCCTCTTGATTCTGCCTTCTTTCTCTGTTCTCAACCAGATGAGCAGGACTTCCATTCCTCTGCTTTTACAACTCTCCAGTGGTGTCCTGTCTTACTCATAGTAATGGTCCACGAGACTCTACCTGGTGTCTGGCCCTTCCGTCTACCTGTGCCAACCACCCTTACCATCTGCCTTGCCTGCCTAGCCCCTGCTTCATTGCAGGACTTTGACCTGGTGTTTCCCTTGGCTTGTAGCACTTCTGTGCATGAATGTGCATTCTTCTGCTGGTCTCCAACATCCTCCATTTAGTCAGGCCCTTCTAGAACAAACGTCTCTGCCTTCTGTCCTGCTTGCTTCGTTTCCTCACTGACCTTAATTAGCTAGCATAGTTTGTTTGTTTTTTATTCACTTCTCATATTAATGAGACCTACAATTTGTTTGCTTGTTTATTTTTTGAGGCAGGGTCTCACTATGTAGCCCTTGCTGACCTGGAACTAGCTGTGTAGACCAGGCTAGCCCCTACATTTCAAGTGCTGGGATTAAAGGGGTGCACCACCACACCCACCCAGGACCAGCAGTTTTCTCTCCCTGTTCAGCAGTTTTCTCTCCCTGTTCAATGCTGTGTCTTTTAGTGTTTTGAGACAGGGTTTCTCTGTGTAAATCTGCCTGCCCTGGATCGTTGTCTCTTTATTATTATTATTATTATTATTATTATTATTATTATTATTATTATTATTGGTTTTTGGTTTTTTGAGGCAGGATTTCTCTGTGGCTTTGGAGCTCTTATAGACCAGGCTGGTCTTGAACTCACAGAGATTCGCCTGCCTCTGCCTCCTGAGTTCTAGGAGTAAAGGCGTTCGCCACCACCCGGCTCTATTGTTGTGTCTTTAGCACCTAGAAATAAAGGGGTAAGTTGGATAGAAAGAGCCAGACTTGGTAGTGCATACCTGTAACCCCAGAACTTCAGAGGCTGAGGCAGGAGGGTCATGAATTTGAGGCCATTCTGCTGTATTACAAAACTTTTTCCGAGCCACCTTGGATAACAAAAGCAGATCCTATCTCAATACTAAATATGCATGTAAGCATACTACAGAAAGATTCCGTGTGCTCATCCCCTATTCTTCATGGATAACATCTTGTAAAGTGTAATATACTAACACATCCAGGATGTTGACACAAGCCACACACCATCTTGCTCATAGTTACTCATTTTTATGTGTATGTGTGCACTCAACCTGTAGTTTTGTTCTGTGTATAGCTTTTATATATTAACCATCAGTCATAATAGATACTGTTTCCATCAACACAAGGATCCTTTGTGTTGCCCTCTTATAATCACACTAACTTCCCTGTCATGTTCTTTTTTTTTTCTTTCACCATCTTTTTCATGGTTTTTTTTTTTTTTTTTATCTTTTTGTTTTTTGAGACAAGCTCTTTCTATAGTGCTGGCTGTCCTGGAACTTGCTATGTAGACCAGGCTGGCCTCAGACTCAATGATCTGCCTGCCTCTGCCTCCTGAGTTCTTAGATTAAAGGTGTGCATTACTACAGCCAGCCCCCCCCCCTTTTTTTTTTTTGGGGTTTTTCGAGACAGGGTTTCTCTGTGGCTTTGGAGGCTGTCCTGGAACTGGTTCTTGTAGACCAAGCTGGTCTCGAACTCAAAGAGATCCGCCTACCTCTGCCTCCCGAGTGCTAGGATTAAATAAAGGCGTGCACCACCACCGCCCGGCTGCCAGCCCCCATTTTTAACCCCTGCCAACCACTTGTTTTTCCAAATCAAGAATGTAAATGTTATACAAATGGAATCATAGTATGTAATCTTTTGAGAGTCTTCCTCATTTAGCATAATTCCCAGAGACTTGTTGAAATTGTTATATGTGTCGAGTTTGTTTCCTTCCCCCTCCTTGTATGCTAGACAAGTGCTGTTCCACAGATCAGCATCCCAGCCTGAGTTGGTTCCTTCTTACTGCCACCTAGTAGTTAGATGATAGAACGGTTCACAGTGAATATCCCATACCTGAAATACTTGAGACTAGAAGCATCTTAAGTTTAGAGTTTCTTTGGGTTTTAGAACATTTATATATAGCTGGTGAGGTATCTTGGAATGGAACCCAAATCTGAACCAGAATTTCACTTGCTTTTCATATAGTTGTGGCCTGGTGGTGAAGTTACAGAATATTTTTCTTTGTACTTTTGTTTTAACTGTGACTTATTACATGAAGTACATTTTTCATCTCTGGCCTCACATTGGGATTTAAAAGATTTGGTTTGGGGGAGCTTTTTAGCTTAGGAATGCTCAACCTGTGTAACTTAAATTTAACCATTTTGAAACATTTCCCTACTAAAGGACATTTGGGGAGTATGCAGTTTTTTAGCTATTAAGAATTATCTGGCCAGGCAGTGTTGGCACATTCCTTTAATCCCAGCACTTGGGAGGTAGAAACAGGTCAGTCTCTATAAGTTCAATGCCAGCCTGGTTTACAAATTGAGTTCCAGGACATCAGGACCGTTACACAGAGAAACCCTGTCTCAAAAAACAAAACAAACAACAAAAAAAGAATTATCTATGAGTTTGTCTTTATTAGCATGCATTATACATGTTGTTATGTTACAGTCTTGTATGTATAATGTATGCCAGTCGATGTCTTACCTCTCCACCCTTGACTTTTCAATTGCTTTGAAAAAGGGTCTCATATAGCCTAGGCTGACCTCAAACTTCTTATGTAACCTAGGATCAACCTTGAACTTCTGATCATCCTGTCTTCTATCTCCCAAGGTCTGGGATTACAAGCATGTACTACCATGCACATCTCCACAAATTTGTTTGCTTTAGGAGAGTGTGGCAAGTATTCACATGTGTGTACAGGTACTCTTACACTTGTGCATGTGAAGGGCACAACCGCCTCAAATGCCGTCCATTCTTTACACTCCATCTGCCATTTTATTTTATTGTTTTGTTGTTGTTTGGGTTTTCGAGACAGGGTTTCTCTGTGTAGCTTTGGAACCTGTCCTAGAACTCGCTTTGTAGACCAGACTGGCCTCAAACTCACAGAGATCTGCCTGCTTCTGTCTCCCATGTACCAGGTCTTAAGACATGCACCACCACTGCCCAGCTTATATTATTTTTTTAACCAGAGTTTTTCATTAGCCCATAGCTTGCCATGGCTAGCTAGGCTAGCCAGATAAGTCCCTGTTTCCTCCTGTCTCCACCTGCCTAGCACTGAGATTACAGGTATGCAAAACTGAGCAGGAAAATCCCACATTTGAAGGCTGTGTAGGCTACATAGCAAGACTTTGCCTCAAAAACATGAAATAAAATAAAATTGTATCTTTTTTCAGCTGAAACCAAGGAATTATAAAGTATTGAGATTTGGATATTGTCAAAAGCTTTGTGATTGTCTAAAACCATTACAAATCCTTACTCTGCCCTACGAAGATATCTATTTAGTAACACTGCCATCTAGTGCTGAGTAGCAAATGATACTGCCAAACTTCAGCATTGAATCCGTTTCATGAGGGCCGCTGAGGAGATTCAGGTCAATACAGTGTCCGCATGAGACCAGAGTTTGGATCCTCAGGACCCACACAAAAAGGCTGGGCTTGGTGGCACTCATCTTTTCACCCAGCACTGAGGAGGCAGACACAGACAGACCTCCAGAGCTCCGTGGGGAGTCTAAGTAACTGTCTAGCTGAGTAGGTCAGTTCTGGTTCATAGAGGACAATATCTGATGGTCCTCTGTCCTCTTTCCTACACACACACACACACACACACACACACACACACACACACACACACACACACACACACACACACACACGGGGACATTACCTCGTGTGCACATGTGTGTACCCGCAAGTGCAGCTCACAAAAGATGCACTCATTTTCATAATTCACTTACTAAATTCTCTTGGTAATATTTCCCCAGTGTGTTTCTTTGTTTTTTCATGTGATTTAATTTTTCCTATTCTTTAACATAGAAGTATGGCTTCTTATCTGAAATTTCTGCAAGAACAGCCCCAATACTTTTTTCAAAATAAGAATATCTAAATGTTGGTGTATATGTATAGCAGTATGATTTTATGATCCATATTAATTTCTACTAATGAACATAAATATTGTTTTCCAGTACTTCCTTTGGTTTTGTTTGTTTAAGTTAACTTGAACTGAATTGGATTAGATTCTCGGGGATAGTCTTGTCTAGTCAAGAACACAGTAGGTAGCTGAGGGTGCCTTTGAACTCCTGATCCTCTACCACTATCTCCTAAATTCTAGTATTACAGTTGTGCTCTACTCCCAGGTTAGTGGGTGAGTAAAATTGATTGGGGTTTTTTGGTTTGGTTTGGGTTTTGGGTTTGGTTTTAGTTGGTTGTCCACTTTAGAACACACTATATAGCCAGGCGTTGGTGGCACACGCCTTTAATCCCAGCACTCGGGAGGCAGAGGCAGGCGGATCTCTGTGAGTTCTAGGCCAGCCTGGTCTACAGAGTGGCAGGACAGACTCCAAAGCCACAGAGAAACCCTGTCTCAAAAACAAAAACAAAAAAACAAACAAACAAAAAAGAACACACTATGTAGCCTAGGCTTTCCTTAAATTCAGACTAATCCTACTGCCTCCACTCTCCATCCTGGGATTATAGGCATGAACTACCACATCGAAGTTCTTTTTGTCACACAATCTTGAACCATTTTGTTTTATCATAAAGAATTTTTTTAATTGTTGGGCATTTAGCAATCAGGAAACTGAAGCAAGATTGTTGACAGCTCAAGGCCAGCCTGGATACATGCCCCCCCCCAAAAAAAATACAAAACAACCCAAGATCTGAGGTGTACACAGCTTGGTAGTAGAGCTGTGAAATAATTGTCACAATTATGTATATGATTTTGTAATTTTTATGTTTACACAATTGTGTAAATTTTCCAGTTAATAATTGAGAATTTAATATTGGTATTTTTTTTACTTAGATACAGGACTCTGGAGAAGTAAAAATATAAGGAAATTGAACCATATGAATTATTACCATTCCTCTTCTACAATTTATAAAGAGGTCTTGATGTAGCCTCATTATGTAAGAGGTTCTCTCTGAGTTCAAAGCTAGCCTGGTCTACATAGTGAGTTCCAGGACAGTCAGGGCTATGTTGAGAGACCCTGTGTCCAGTATGTATGTATGTATGTGTGTGTGTATATATATATATATATATATATATATACATCCATGCCACTCCAGATTCAGAATCTCACTTTAACTAAAGTTAGTAACAAAAAGAAAGAAGAATAAAATATCCTCTGCACATGTATGTGTGCTGGGTCAGGCTCACCACCCAGCGTCTTCCCCAGATCTAATCTTCAGTGCAGATGTTTTCCTTTTTCTTCAGGGTTCTGTAATTTGAGATAATGGCGCAGGAAAGGCCTGGTAATAATAAATGGTTACAATTGTTTTGAGTATTTAGGTTCCTGCAGTTCAATGCTACCTTTTTTTCTTTTTTTTTTTTTTAAGATTTTATTTGTTTATTTATTTATTTATTTATTATGTATGCAACATGCTGCTTCCATGTATATCTGTACACCAGAAGAATGCACCAGATCTCATAACGGATGGTTGTGAGCCACCATGTGATTGCTGGGAATTGAACTCAGGACCTCTGGAAGAGCAGTCAGTACTCTTAACCTCTGAGCCATCTCTCCAGCCCCCAATGCTAGCTTTTTGTTAAGAACAGTAGAAGCAAATTTCTTAGAATTTGGCATCATGTCCCAATATGTTAGTAAAAACGGGCACTTAGGTATGAGGAGCTTTGCTGTGATATAATCTTAGGTACATTCACCAAGGTGAAGAAAGCAAACTAAACTATTACATGGAACTCCACAGTACAGAACTTTGTTATTAAGCAGATTTCTATCTGCTTTGATAGAAGCTACTTGAACCCTGTACCCAGGCAGGGTTTAGGTTTTGGGGGGTTTTGTTTTGTTTTTTCACACTATGCTTGCTTCTATATATTTTTGTGTAATAAAAAACATTTGGTTACATTGATTCACGGAGATTTCTGTCATTGTGTCATTTGGTTTTGTTTTTCAGTCTGCCCCGTCTGGTCACAAACATCTGACAGTGGAAGAGTTGTTTGGAACCTCTTTGCCAAAGGAGCAACCAGCAGTTGTGGGTCTAGAGTCAGAAGATGCGGAGAAGCTGCCCGGAGATGCATCGCAGAAAGAGCCCAGCTCATTTCTCCCATTTCCCTTTGAGCAGTCAGGGGGAGCACCTCAGTCCGAAAGCCTGGGTGTCCGTTCTGTCGCTCACCACACAGTCCAGCCTGAAGTCACTGCCCCAGTGCTCATCACTCCTGCCTCCATTGCACAGTCAGGTGAAAAGCATGCCCCAAGCTACACAATCCCCCTGAGCCCTGTCCTAAGTCCTACGCTGCCAGCCGAAGGTCCTGCCACACAGGTTCCCCACTTACCTCGGAATAGCACCATGATGCAAGCAGTAAAGACCACACCTAGACAGAAGTCTCCACTCCTGAACCAGCCAGTCCCTGAGCTAAGCCACAGCAGTCTGATTGCTAGCCAGAGCCCCTTCAGAGCCCCAGTGAGCCTGTCAAGTACAGCTGGCTCATCCCTCCCAAGCGTTGATCTGCTCCAAAAACTCAGGTTGACCCCACAGCATGACCAAATACAGGCACAGCCTCTTGGAAAAGGTGCAATGGCACCCAACTTCTCTTCAGCAGCTGGCCAACTGGCCACCCCTGAGAGCTTCATAGAGCCTCCCTCTAAGACAGCAACAGCAAGAGCAGCAAGCTCAGCTTCCCTGAGCAACATGGTGCTTGCTCCAACTCTTCAGGTAATGACAGGAGCAGGAGGGAATAAAGGAATGAAACTATAGAAGCTTTGGTTTTGAGTAGTATGAGACTGTGTGTGTGTGTGTGTGTGTGTGTGTGTGTGTGTGTGTGTGTGTGTGTGTGATTTCATGCACCAGCCATGCCCAGTCAAAGGTATAGTGTGTCTGTCTGTCCCTCCCCCTACCCCATACACAGTTTGCAGTGACTGAATTTGCTGTGGAAACAAAGCTGAGGGAGTTAGCATTGGGAGAGGAATAAATTGTGAGTTAAAGAGTTTGAGTTTTTTCTCAGACTTTGGAAGGCACTGAAAGGTTCTGAATGAAGAATGCCTTGTCAGGCCATTCATCAAAGAGCAAGCTGGCGGTCTCTTGGGCCTGAGCAATAGGGACCTGGGCTGGGCAGTATGGACAAGTGGGTTTTTAAAATATCTAGTCAGTGAGGCTTCATGGTAGAGTGCTATAGAAGGGAACGGAGAGATTTGCCCTCCTTCGAAGTAGTTCATGAATGGCAAGTTTACAAGTAAGGAAATGAACTGAGTTCAGATGAGTGGTGCATGGTCACAGCAGAAGTGGGGTGTGCTGCTCTGTGGGCAGGACTCTGCTGGGGAGATAGGTGCCACAGCCCTGAAATGCTCCTGCTGCTTTTCTTTCTGCTTTTGTTTTGGGGGTTTGGTTTGGTTTTGCTTTATCAACAGGGTTTCAGTGTAGCTTTGGAGCCTCTCCTGGCACTCACTCTGTAGACCAGGCTGGTCTTGAACTCACGGAGATTTGCCTGCCTGTGCCTCCCAAGTGCTGGGATTAAAGGTGTGCAACACTACTGCCTGGCCCTACTGCTTTTCTTTTGCCGTGATAAAATGCTTAAAGAAATGCATGGAAGAAAATTTATTCAGGTTTCTGATTACAGAGGGAAAGGCTAAGTTCATCTGGAAACTTGGGCAGTGGTCCTGCCCCTGCCTTCTCCACGTTCAGCCCTAAAAGACAGCACAACGTTCCTGCATGGTGCCTGGCAGAAACCACTCTCATATGTGTAAATACTCCTCTAGATGGAAATAGCTGACTTTAAGATCTTACTTTTGCCTGGTATAGCGGCACATGCCTTTAGTCACAGTAGGCAATGTGTGATATCAAGTCCAGTCTGGTCTACATAACAAGCTCCCGGCCAGCCAGGGTTAGCCTGTCTCAAAAGAAAAAGACCTTAGCTGGGTAGTAGTGGCACACACCTTTAATCCCAGCACTTGGGAAACAGAGGCAGGAGGGTTTCTT